TGTCTGCTTCTCCGTCTGTCTGTCTGTCTGCCTGCCTACCTGTCTGTCTGTCTGCTTCTCTCCCTCTCTCTGCCTGTCTGTCTGCTTCTCTCTCTCTCTGCCTGTCTGTCTGCTTCTCTCTCTCTCTGTCTGTCTGTCTGCTTCTCTCCCTCTCTCTGTCTGTCTGTCTGCTTGTCCGTCTGTCTGTCTGTCTACCTGCCTGCTTGCTTCTTTCTCTGTGTGTGTGTCTCTCTCTCTCTCTCTCTCTCCCTCTCTCTCTCTCTCTCTCTGTCTGTCTGTCTGTCACTCTCTTTTTGTCACTTTGTGTGTGTGTGTGCATGTCTTTCTCTCTGTGTGTGTCTCTCTCACCATCTGTGTGTCTCTGTATGTATCTCTCTCAGTCTGTTACTCTCTCTCTCCCCCTCTGTCACTCTCTCTCTCTGTGTCTCTGTGTGTGTCTTTTTCTCTGTCTCTCTCTGTTTCACCCTCTGTGTGTCTCTCTGTCTGTGTGTGTGTGTCTCTCTCTCTCTCTCTCTCTCTCTCTCTCTCTCTGTCTGTCTTTCTGTGTGTGTCTCTCTCACCCTCTGTGTGTCTCTCAGTCTCTGTGTGTGTCTCTCTGTCTCTGTGTGTGTGTCTCTGTGTGTGTCTGTCTCTCTCTGTTTGTCTCTGTTCTAATTTGAAGAGTTCATTTAGCACTATATAAATGTGTCAAAGTGGAAAGGAGGAGCAAACAGCTCAGATATTCATTTAGCCTCGTCCCTGTCCTCAGCAGTTCCTATAATAAGGTTATATGTATTGTTGACCAGTTGTTGTGTATCAGTGTGTTCGATCACAGGTCAACACACATACAGGGATCAGTCTATGAACTGACCGACTATCTTTTTCTCTTTGCATGGTGAAGTGGCACTATGCCCGCAGCTACTGTGGATCACAGCCAAAGAATATGTGAAGTTTGGGCCAACAACCTGGAGGAGGAGCTGAAGAGGATCAGACATGTCATCCGAAAATACAACTACATCGCTATGGTGAGAGGTGCCCATGGACACAACACTGTTTGATACATTTTGTCCATCTGGAGATGTGGAGAGTCGTCCCCATCCAGAGAGTTGTTTCCCTTCAATATTGTTGCCAACATAAGCAATGATAATGTTAAATAGTGATACAATATGTATTGAACGCATGTTTGCTAATTATAAACGCAAAATAAAGCATTCTTAAACTTGGAGAGCTACGCAATCTCAGTGTGGACTGACTTCCTGTAAGTCTCAACTTTACAGCAGTTCATTAAAAACAAAGGTGTCAGACACATTTCTTCAATTCAATCAGTAAATAGAATACAACACATTAACATTTAAACAGACTGCCACTTGTGCTGTTTTACATCACAGGGCCGCCTCAGTACGTGCAGCTGCATCTTCTAATGCAAGTGTGAGGCAGGAGGTCTATCCACAATTAAAATGTTCACAACTCGATGAATTTCTAACCTAGTATTGAGCCGTTTGCTTTGTTGTGTCAGATGTGTATTTATGTCACAGAATGCTTGTTTACATTATGAATTATCTATTCATACAGAAATATGTGATCTTTTGTAGATGCTAATGGAGTAATAGTTCTATAATACTGTATTCCAGATACATTTACCTAAAACAATTAGGTTCTAAGTGCATTTTTTTTTTACCGTGTGTGTGTGTGTATATATATATATATATATATACACATTTGGTGGTCCCCTTTGGTGTTCCCTCCAGGAATTGCTCTGTTTATCTTCCCCTCCAACAGTGAGATGAAAGATCCACCCCTAGGTATTTGCAAACAAGATGTCCAATATGTGATATGATGCACTGATCATTTTTACATATTATAATTCAGTAACAGGCGCAGGGTAAACTATACAAATTGATATATCTTAAATACAGAGAAAAATGCTTTGTACCAAATATGGCTACTAGGTAATTTCTATTAGTAGTCTCCTACCCAGTGACAGGTGAACAGAGACAAGTCTAGGGGACACATTTTTATGAGTGTGTGCAATTTTGTGCAGCTTGATTGAATTTAAGGGGACTGTTGGACCATGGCGGCGCTCTATTGAGTGCTGTTCTAGTTTACTCCCCTGTGCATAATAAACTGTCTTCTTGCAGGACACAGAGTTTCCCGGTGTAGTAGCCAGACCAATCGGGGAGTTCAGAAGCAACGCTGACTATCAGTACCAGCTACTGCGCTGCAATGTGGATTTGCTCAAGATAATCCAGCTGGGCCTCACGTTTATGAACGAGCAAGGGGAATACCCTCCAGGGACATCAACGTGGCAGTTCAATTTTAAGTTTAACCTCACGTAAGATGAGTTTCCTGTCACTTTCATCACAGTCATTTCTGATGCTGCAGTCAAACATAGCCAGCATTTTAACCTGAGATAAGTCAAAATTACAATGAGCAGGTGACAGTTTTAGCAGCACAGCTTCAGGGGAAATATTAATGCTCTGTATAGTCATGTAGTAAACCAGAATTTGCCAGAGAACAGAAGTATTTCAGCTTTTTCTTTCACTAACGAAACACAAGCCAATATTTTAAGCTATCACCTGCCTTTCTTTTTTATATATAATATGAATAGTTATTGTATGATGCGTGTTGTGTCTCATCAGAGAGGACATGTATGCACAGGACTCCATTGAACTCCTGACCACTTCAGGGATTCAGTTCAAGAAGCACGAGGACGAAGGCATCGAGACGCTCTACTTTGCAGAGCTGCTGATGACGTCAGGGGTGGTGCTTTGTGATGGGGTCAAGTGGCTTTCTTTTCACAGGTATTCTGCTTTAGTAATGAATTTGTTTTTGTATATACTGCAACGTGTGAACTCTAGGAGCTGCACTGTCAACAGCTCCACAAAAGAAGAGCTTATTTGCCTCGTAGTAAGAGCTAAGATGTTACGCAGAACTATGATTGATTTGCCACAAATAAGAAAATAACTGAATTTACTGTTAAAGTTGCTGTTCAATCACCAGTATTTATATTTACAATCTGCTGCTTAACATCTTCATTTCGCACTCAGTTTCCCACTGTGTCTCCATGGCAAACTGAGGCTAAAGATAACCAGGCTCTGGATATTAAACAAAGCTTAGGTTTCAAACATCACTGTCATCTTGTTCAGGTATTTAGAACAAACTTTAACAAACAGGCTCTAATGTCATTGTTATTTACAATCTTGTTGAATCTGTATTTCTCTAATTTCTCCTAATTGTGAATTCAGTGTTGATCTTTTTGGAAATTGCTCTCTTGTGGATGAACTTTTTTCAGTTTCTTTTAGCCTCTGTTGATACTAGTTGTTGTAAGAGTGCTATCTGATCTTTGTGTAGTTATTTACCCTTCCTCGTGTCTTGGTCTGCCATAAGAAAAAAGAACCAGTCAGGCTGTCATTTATTATCTTTGTTTCATGACAAATTAGATATGAACACCTCTTGAATCCCTCTGCTGTGTGTATTTTTAAACACACAGTTAAATTGTGTGCATGTGTTGGTGTATGTGTGTGTATTGCAGTGGCTATGACTTTGGCTACCTGATCAAGATTCTGTCCAACGCTAACCTGCCGGAGGAGGAGGTGGACTTTTTCGAGATTCTTCGATTGTACTTTCCAGTCATTTATGACGTGAAGTACCTCATGAAGAGCTGTAAAAACCTGAAGGTACATGCAGGAAGGAAATGTGCAGTTTTATTAATACAAAGTTTGAGTGTGGCCCTCAGCTTTTACTTTGACTACAAGCATCGATTTTGTGAGTAAGAGACTGTGTTTTTTGTTTTCAGGGTGGACTGCAGGAAGTAGCTGAACAGCTGGAGCTGGAGAGGATCGGACCACAGCATCAAGCCGGCTCCGACTCGTTACTCACAGGCATGGCTTTCTTCAAGATGAGGGAGGTGGGTACATGCACTCCTTTGCATTAATCTGACACCATTTTAGTCTCATGTCAGAACTGGAATGGCACTTAGAAGAGTATGTACCTCCACCAAGGCCCAACAGTCCCGGAACACGTCTGCTTTCTTTAATTGAGAATAATTATCTGAGAAATCAGTGATAATGTTGAAAAAAATCCTGGATCTGCCCCCTGGTCTCGATCTGTACCAAAATTGAACCCGGTCTTTCGTGACCCATAGCACATCCTTCCACAAAGGTTTGTGGTAATCCATCTAGTAGTTTTGGTGTAATCTTCCTTCTACTGGACAGAAAAAGATATGATAAACAAACACAGACAAAGACATATCCTCTTTAGCAGAGGTAAGAAGCCTCCTGGTCACTCTCTCTCAGTCTCAGATAGAAATTGTGTAGAATTTTGTAAGATTGCGATTCTGTTTTGTTTTTTTTATACACTGAAACTTCATATACTCGTCAGAGTCAAGTGTGTGGTCTGAACATGTAATGGTTAAAATGTAACGGTCTATAGCGCGAACATGTTGTAGCTCATGATAGTGTGAGCGCACGCTAGTGTGAGCATGTGGAATATAGCGCAATCAAATAGCGCTGCACACTCCAAGTAAGAGATCTCCTTGTAATAATGTTAAAAAAAGGTTTTGGTTTGTTATGAAACTGTGATGGGACAAAATAGAGCGTGAGGGGCCGCTTCAGTCTTTTATCAGTATCACATGAAATGAACATGTTTGTGTCTGCTCTCAGTATCACGCTCTTTTAACATTGTTTTCTACAGATGTTCTTTGAGGATCATATTGACGATGCAAAGTACTGTGGTCACTTGTACGGGCTCGGCTCCGGCTCCGCCTACGTCCAGAATGGAACAGGAAATGCTTACGAAGAGGAGGCTAACAAGCAGCAGTCGTGACATCACTCCGAAAACGTTTCCATCACGCTGTTCACCTCCACAATCAGTGAGGCGCCGAGCTTCGACAGCCGGATGACGATAAAAATGGAAGATCATGAAACATATATACATCGTTTAGTGAGCTGTTTCTCATAGGTTCTGCTCATCTTAGAGTATGATGGTCAAAAAAAAAAAAGTCACAGCTGCCCTCACCACGTGCTGCTGTGCGTGTGTGTGTGAGTTTTGGTTTAGTTACATCTGACATGCTTGAAGAGATGGGATTTTAGTTTTCCTGAAATGTTCTGTAGAAATATTTTGCACTTTAAAAGCTCTAACCTGATTTTATATGGAAAGCTGAAATGTTTCCGATGTCTCGCTCCTCTTTGTTGCCTTGTCTGTGTTCCCGTTTTACATCGCGAACATGTGCTTCTTTACTATCATAACAATTGTTCTCACCCTGCTCAGCCTTAACACTAGCTGCATTCTTATCTTTTAATAGTTTTAATTTATTGCGCTAGTTATCTGACGATGAACAGTCGCCCCGTTCAACACTACACATCACTGCGTATCTTCCGGTTGATGGGAAAGGGAGTTCTTCTCAGTGAGTGTGTTTACGTGCACATGAGTAGTTATTTAAATTGATTTCATTTGTTAATAATATTGTTGACAAGCTCTATTGTGCAGAAACAAATTTCCTCTGTTGTAGCTGTTTTTCTGTTTGTTTTCACGATAAAGCTCAGAAGAGTTGGATATTAATATATGTAACAAGATGCATACGGTGGGTTTTCATTGAGGGGAATGTTGAGTATTTTTATTTGTGCATGTAAACAACCTCATTGACACAAGCACATATGAACAAGGAGGACATTGCCTCTCGACATGGATCTACCACATCTATAAAAACAATGAAAAGGCACTAAAAGAAAAACAGTCAACGTGCTGAGGCTTCCCTGAACTGCTCTGCTGAGAGTAAGTTTTCATTTTTAATTAAAGTAAAGGAATTGTAGAGTTTTAGTGTTATAATAAAAGAAGAAAAACTATAACTTTTACTCATTGGGAGGAAAACTAACATTTGTTTTTAACGTTTCTCTCCAGTGCAGTTCATTTCACTTGTAGTTCTGGCCTTTGAATTTTTTTTCTTGCTTTCCAGAGTCATGCTTCCTAGACCAGTCGCATGTACTAAAACATTTGAATAAATGCTGTGTTGTTTAATAGTATCCTGAACTTCCATATAGGTGTGTTGAAGTTGTAGGTTCACGACTTATTAACCCGCCTCAGCGTCGAAACAACTGAGACACTTGTCTTTCTCTCTGCAGCACGTCTCACACTGCAAAGGAGTAAAAAGAAGAATATGCAATATAACAGGATTGTTTTCAGATTATTTTGTAAATAAAGGCTTGAAACTTTTCTACCATAAAATGCTCTCGACCGTTACATGACTGTGAAGAAATGAGAATAGAGAAGAAGAGCTTGTTTTATTCTTAATAAGGCATCACAACTGTATAGTACATCGCCTCACACATCCATGTTGTCTCGAGTCAGACAGAATAGAAAAATATAAATCGACACCAACGATCACCATGAAGCTTTTTTTTTTTTTAACAAGCATACATTCTTTAAACTAATGTTCAGTTTTGTTTTTAGTTTCCAGCCGAAGAACAGACAGAATCGTCAAAAGGAGAAAATACTGTACAAAGTGTCTGGAACTGATTTCTCTTTTTTTTGTACACAACGTTGTGTGTGACAAAAACACTCAGTATCTATTTTTTGATGGTGCACTGGAAAAAGAACCGACTTAAAAAAAGACTGCAATTGGTAACACAAATTGTTTTTTCAAATTAAAAAGCAGTTGTTTGTGTATAAGTTATAGCTGAACAAACTTGATTCCTTTCTGTGTTACCAATTGAAGTATTATTTTGAAGTTGGTAAACTATTTTCTTACTTCAGTGTAAACAGATCTGCAGCACCATCACACTGAAGTTTCTTTCCGCTGGCAGCAGGTGAGCTGACCTTACAGAACATCCCCCCAACAGTCAGTCAGGAGCTTTTCGTGATGGCAACATCCTCACTCATGCTTTAATCATTCAGAAGAGCCCTTAATCAAACATGTAATTACTGATGACTTTACTTCTTTTTTGTTTTCAAGCAAAAAGGGGAGAACGTCTCGTACAGTTCACTACAACAAATAGTGTTTGCGTTGACATCCTGAGATGAGAGCATGCATCATTTCCACAACACAACATGTCGGGTGGGAAAAAGAAATTTACAAAAAACGTAAAAACAAAGACTGGAGGAATGTCAATTACATCATATCAAGACCATCACTACTGCATTATTAATGTGCAAATGTTTGGCAAACTTATAACAGCATTTACTAATGTGCTAAGCTATCCAATTAACATAAAACTAACATACAAAAGCTCAGATTGATTTACTAGTATACAAAGTGCAAAACATCTCCAACGCTGCTCTGTGCTTTTTCATACAGAAACAAAAGAAAAGGGGATTGTTGGAATGCACTTTTCATTTGAATCCACCCAAATGCGTCCAAGTAGCAGCAGATAAATTCACTGATAACAGTAACAGTGACACTTTTGATAATACATGTAGATTTTTCTTGTGTAAGCCTCTCAGAAGGAGGGGGTGCAATATGGAAAATGACAAATGCCGGTGATGTCACCAGCATGTCCTGTTCTGGCACAAACACAGAAGGGGTCCAGCAGAGACCTGTGGGACGAAACACACACATATTAGTTTTACATCTTCACATGTGAAGGATTCCTCTGTGATCGTAAACTTACTTTAGTGCCATATCCGCGGCAGTTTTGAAATCCAGACTGAAAACCTTTTTTATTTACAAATGCCTTTATCTAAACCTTTCTCCAAAATATAAGGTCATACCATCATAGTATTTTATTTTATTAATTTTACATATTTATATCTATTTTATCTGTATCCTTCAACTTATTTGAGATGTTTTATAAAGATTGTATCCTTTTTATTTATTTTAATCTCTACCTAACCCACACTTAATTATTCATAGATATTCATATACAGTATACACTTGTCACTTTGGTTTTATACTTATATCTCTTTATTTGGCTTTTTCATTTTTAATTGATTTCTTTTTTTCTCTCTGTGTTGTTTTTAGTGTCCCTGTATGAAATGGGCTTTATAAAACAAACTGCCTTGTCTTGAATTGAAGTTGCAGACTCTGGCTCTGGTTATGCCTCATTTTCGATGGTCATCCCTTGGTTGCTGGCACCTAAACACACAAGTGGAAATAAATGATTTAATGTATGTATAAGAAAATATTAATAATTTGTCCCTATGAGGTTATTTATGTATTCAAGCAGAACAAACATCCTACCTTTCCTCTCTTTCTCTGTTGCACTGTCACTGTCGGGCCAGGAGGGGTTGCTGGCAAGCAGTCGACTCTGGCTCTCCCTCAGAGGTTTGGAGGGGAACTGGCGGCTGTCTGATGCACTGGAAACACACAAACACCCATGAGCAGGGATGCAGCCAGGAATTCTGGGTCCCCAGATAACCTCCTCCATCTTGGAATAAATGCTCCTAAATCCTGTAATCCTGTGATCTGAAGGATTAATTTAGAATTGAAGGCCGTAACTGCTGCATCATTAAGCTGACAGGTTAATAAAACACCAGGGGCTGACTCTAAGTAACGTGCACACTGTTGTCTTCCCACACACAACTTGAGTTGACGTTTTAAATGTATGATCGAATGTGTGTGTTTTTTTACTCACCCCTTGTTGGCAGGGTTGGAGCCTGAGGGTGAGGAAGGCTGCTCAGGGTCCACATTCACCAGACAGGACGGGAACGAGCAGCCGTCACCGAGACTGAAAAACCAACAGAAAGAAAAGGAGGAGGTACAGTTTGGTGTTTGACAAGGAGTGGATAACTCCTCAGTTTATGTGAGTTTATATACTTCAGTAGAGTCTCGGGGTTGTGTGTTTTCACCTCTGTTTGTCTGTTTGTTGGATGGTTGGTTTTGGTTGGTAGATTACCATGAAATTTGGTAAAAAACATATTTAGAGTGTCAAGGAAGAAACCACTAAATGTTGGTGCGGATCCAGGATTTTCTTTTTCACTTTAAATTAGATTAGATGACACTTTATTTTCAGAATCTCTTCTGAAATGTTTTCTTGCATTCCATCCATTGCCTCACATAAAGACAAACATATATATACAGATGCTGCATTCACCATTTAAAAAACATGTGGCTGCAACTCCTTTAACATTCAGTGCTTCAACCACACCGGAACACTAAGGCCTACTTAGAGCTCAAGCTCTGAAAGAGTTCTTCAGTCTGCTCAGTCGAGCCTCTGAATCTCATAGATTAGATGACAGAAGCACTTTCTGTAACACTTTTCCCACAGAATAACTTGTGGATCTTGATGAAACTAATCAGGCATATTTGAGGAACCGATATTGTGTTTGCAATTTGGTGCGGATCCAAATAAAAAGCTGGTTCTAGTGAATTTAAATGTGGTTTCATAAAGAGACTCTAGTTAAATATGGAACAACTAAACTGCCCTGAACCTTTCTAACTCCAACTGCACATTAATAGATTTAGTTAATGTCTTTGTCAGAGCTGATGAAAGAACACGTCTGACATCATTTTTATACTTATTTCAATCAGATTTGATCCTGCAGCGTTTCACACTGACAGTGCTGCCAATCTAAGAGGCCATATAATCTAAATCTCAGCATCTCCACAGGTTACAAGTTGGATTTCATGCTTACTGATCTAAAATTAGTCTCAGCCACACTGCAGAGTCGTGGCTCTCTCAGCAGAGCCTCCAGTCTCTGACCTGACTGTCCTTCAGTCTAGACTCAATATTACACATTTCCGGGCTTAGAAATTGGAAAATAACCTGCAGGAAGAAGTTATGAATAATTCCTGGAAAAACAAACTTGCTTTATTAAGTTTGATTTTTTTTTCTGTTGTCCATCCTTGAATCTTATTCTGCCTCTTTCTTAATCTTATAATGTTTTTATTTGACTCTTTGGCTTTTTTACTATTTCTTTTGAGTATATTTGGCAGATGATCTCACCTGGAGAAAATGGGAATAGACCAGTACTTAGCCTCATCCCCAAAGACCTGGCGGAAGTTCTTACTGAAGCCCAGACTGAAACCATTCTTGTCTGTGCCGTGACGAAACACCGGGGCCCGTACAGCTTCTGAGGGGACACACATGGAAGAGTCAGTATACTATTCAAAATTACTTTATTTACACAGCACCTTTAAAACAGGGTTTACAGAGTGATATATATATATATATATATTTATCTCCTCATATTAATATAATTCTCTTATAGATCCTAATGCAATATTCCTGTGCCATTGCATATAAAATAAACGTTAAGACACATAAAAGCAATAATACATGAAAGCATAAATTAAACAGAAAAAGACAAAAGGAGAAAACATCACATAAGGGCCAGTCAACATGTAAATATGGCTTTTAAGTGATTTAAAAGGATCCACTGAATCTGCCTTCCTCTTTATAGAGCTTTAACCGCAGCTCTTTCAGAACAATGAGCAACACATGAACACGAAGGACTGAAACACTGAATGAAGGTGCCATTGTCGTACAGGTGCAGCACTTCTCAGACCTGCTCTTCCAGGTGTGACTTCTCTCCCTGCCAGTGTCCGTTACTAAGCTGCTTACTGCTCTGAGCCTTGTGTCTTTGCATTACACTGTAACAGACTCCTGCATGTGGATTATCCACTCCCCTCAACACACGCAGACAAAGTGTGCCAGTGTTCACGCATAATGAGAAACTGCTCCATCTGATAAGGGCCCATAGAGGCTCGTCAAATCACTGCACTGGTGAGGACGGTGACTGGCGGTGAGAAAAAAATGCAGCAACACATCCTTCATCATTAGAGGGACATTTAGTAAACAGTGAGCAGACTGAAAGCATATACTCAGAAAACATGCAGCAGCTACTGATGGAACGCATGAAGGTCTGAAGTGCGCCACCTACCGAGAGTGGATCTGTTCTTGCACACGAGCCAGCAGTGGTAGATGAAAAGAGAGGCGAGGCTGACCGAGAACATGGAGGCCGAGAAGAAGAGGAAGAGGATGTGGAACTTGGCCTGAGTGTCTGGGAGGCCGTTCTGAGGGGGAAACAATACATCAACACAAATACGCAAACACACAGTCAGCACTAAAATGAACTGTGTGGGTGAAAATCTGGGCTCTGAGCTGGATCTGACACATTTCTACTCAATTAGTCTACAGGGGGGGGGGGTTAAATCACTTCTACTTTAGTGGCACTAACTAGTTGTCTGGTTCATACCAGGTACTCCCTGAGACGGAAATGTGCTCTACCTCCAGCCTTGCGAAAGAAAAATCAAACACCACATTCAGCATGAAATACAGAATACATGATATGTCACATGCACATTAACATTTCATTAGAGAGCTGTGCTGACACAACACAAGTTATATTTACCATCCAAAATTTTATGAAGTACTGAAGGTCTGTAGCAGTAATAAAAAGGCAGTAGAGCAGCGAGTACGCCAAGAACAGCATGAAGTACTTGTAGTTGGAGAATCCCACACAGTTGTTCACCCTAAAGGGAAGAAGGAAACAAACAAATGGGGGGAAAGAGTTGGTTGCTGAGAAATCAGAAAGTCAAATAAATATTATATATAAAAATCAATTGAATTTTTATATGGCATTCTACCTCTGCCAAGGTTCAACAGTTCCCTCATGAAACCACATTTAATTCACCAGATCCAGATTTTTATTTGGATCTGCACAAACCCCCAGAAATATCAGCCCCCTAAACATTTCTGATTCTGTGAGAAATTGAGGAAAATGTTGTAAACATGTCCTATTCCACAATGTAGAAAAATACAGAAAGTGAAAAAAATATCATTCTGGATTTGCCTCCTGATCCAGATCCACCCCAAAATGAAAAAGGGTTTTTCCCTGACTCACACCACATCCCTTTAACAGGTTTTGAGGTAATCTGTTCAATAGTTCCTGCGTAATCCTGCCAACTAACAAACAAAAGTAGATGAACACATAATCTCCTTGGTGAAGGTAAAAATAGAAGAAGTATCCACACATTTGTATCTGAGCTCCCTTCAGCAACTTTCCAGTTTGTGAGAACACTTGTATCGTATTTACGTGAAGTGTTTTGTGACCAGCCCCGATCCTACTGAAGTTCTATCAATATGCATTTACATTTGCATTTGATTGAACCTTGGTGGAGCAGTGGAGCCCAGGCCAAGGAAAAACGATTTGATAACGGGGACAGATCCAGGAATAGTTTTTTCTTTCGTTAACATTGCAAGATAGGATGTTATCATTATATTACTAATATTTTTATATTTACTATATTTTTGTAGTACAGATATTTCTGTACAGCTGATCTCAATACATGAATATGCAACATGTTGATAAAGTGGCCGACCAGACAATCAAGCATGTGCTCTCTGAGTGGCCCTCTACTATGTTTAGTTGAACATGTCTACCAACATGTTAACAGCAGTAGTGGAGAGCAGTACAGGCAGAAAAGGAATCCTGGAACCTGTTGTTTTATAAATCAATAGAAAATCTGTGTGACAACTGATTCTCATATTCAGTCATTTCTTCTTCCTGGTTTCTCCTGGGTTTGATGACCAGACGTGGTGCAACAACAACACGACAAAGAGAGCAGATGAACAGAATGAATGTTGAGCAAGAACAACATAGACTGGAGGCAAATTTGTTTTGTCTCCCTCTGCTGCCAAAATCTGTCAACTGGCAGGAGATGTTCAGTTCTTTCCAGCGAACAAGCTGTTTGTCTATTCCATGTGTACACGCACTGTTACTTTGAATGGGACTGGCCAGTGTGAATTCTGCGGTACCTTAAATAAAAAAGTATATCGGACAACACAGCATGAGTACAGCAGCACAGTGTCACTGATCTGAGTTTTAATCATGTGAGTGTCACCACGTACCAGGGGCAGTGGTGATCCATCTTCAGGATGCATCTGTAACACAGCAGGGTCAGACGTCAGTGTAATTGAATCTCCCTCCCTCTGCCAGAATGCAATACATGGTGTTGTGTTTTCTCTAAAGGTGCGTGAGCAGAGAGCCGTACTTATCACACACTGAACAATGGTGACATCGATCAGGCTTCAGCAGCTGGCAGCGGTCACAGAAACGGATTGCTGAAGGAGACACAGCCAGTTCAGTCACACAGCAGCAGCAGCCTCTCCTGACACCTGACCCCAGACTAACAAGGGGATGGGGGTGAACTGAGCTGCTGTTCTGCATCAGCACTGCACTGTACTGTACCTCCAGAGTTGGTGCGGGTGTTGATGGGCAGATCCTTGGCTATCCTCCTCAGGATCTCCTGCTGGGACTCTCCACGATCTTCACGCTCCAGCAGCTCCTTGTCAGAGAAGGACAGGTGGAACTATGTAGGACAGAACAGAGAGAGGGAGAGAGAGGGAAGACAAACAACACCTGTGATTTATCCGGTGAGCAGCAACATTTATTTCTAATGATTCATCTCAAATAGTCAAACATGGATGGATGGATGGACTAATGGTTGGACAGATGGATGGGCGGATGGATGGACGGATGGATGGACAGACATTTGATGGATGGTTTGATGGATGTAAAGACATTTGGATGGATGGATAGATAGATGGGTGGGCAAATGGATGGACGGACAGACAAATGGATGGATGGATGGATTGATAGATGGATGACAGATTGACAGTCAGACAGACAGATGGATGAACAGACGTAAAAAAAGATGGATGGATGGACAGACTGATGGACGGACAGACGTTTTGATGGATGAATGGATGGAAGAATAAAGAATTTTGGCTCTTATGGGATGTGATGTTTCTTTCAGCCACTTTCAGGCCATTTATGATCAAACACTGGAGACAAATAACTCTGATGAACAAGCAGAACAGAATCCATGAGATTTAACTCAGATTACAATCCCAAAACCTCAAGTCATCACTGATCACTTCTCATAAACAGTATGAGCTTTCAGTATGAGGTGTGTATGCATGTGTGCTCAGTCTCAATGGAAAAGCGAAAGGAAACAGTGGCTTTTCTTTCAGAGATGCATGTGTGTGTTCAGCCTGCTGAGCTCAAGTGCTGTGGTCAGGATCAGAACCATTAGAGTGCAGCTCCGAGCACTTCCACCGGAAAGTATTATTAGTCTAAATGCAGCGTTCAATCACTCTGCGAGGCTGCATTTCTCTGTGCCGTGCCTCATCACCCTAGACGACCGTTAACGCTGCGTCACTGAGCAGACACACTTACCTCCTTCAGGGGGTTCATGGGCCTGGTGAAGATGGTCTGCCAGTACGCCCACACAAACATGATGAAGATGGCATGGTACACCAGCAAGAACACCACTGAAGCCAGAAAAATTTAACATAAATGAGTAGTCTGCATTTAACCATTTATTTACAGTTTGCAGCTTCATCAAATGTAACAAATGTTGGAGTAAAATGTTTGAACAAAACGTATATAAGTATGAAATATCAAGCCTGCCTCTGTATACACACTGGATAAAATCCTGTCTTTAAACATGTAGCTGCAGTAGTGAAAGGTAAATCTGATGACCCACTTCCTGATGATCAAGGTTGATCCTGCAGATCCAGCTGCTCAGTGCTTGACAAATGTGGAACAGCCAGAGACACTAAAAGTGAAAGTTAAACAGCATCACAGAACACTTACCCTTTTTTCCTGTGTCTTCGATGGATTCTGAAAAATAAAAAAGACACAGTCATGTCTGTGTTGAACACATGAAGGCCAGTGGGGAAATGTATCCTTTAAACCCTTGACACAGGCAGCGCCTCCATGTGGCGATGCATGTATGCTGCATGACAGTCAGTCTGAATTTAAATGAATGAAGCTGAAAAACACTCACACTGCAAACCCTCAACATTCAACACCATTCACAAAATCATTCGACATGATCCCTGTCAAACAGCTCCACACATTGTTCCTCTCACATATATATTTATATATGTGTGCAAACTAAGGACATTTTTTCCGATCCTCATTTTCTCACTCACTCTCAAAGGTCAGTTTAAGGATCAAGACCTGGGTTAGAATTAGGTTTAGGTCAGGATTAAATATTTAGTTGTGATAATTAATGTCAGGGTAAAGGGCAAGGAAATGCTTCACACCAATGATTGTCCTAACTTAGACAGAAGTTCAAGGTTGTATGTGTGTGTGTGTGTGTGTGTGTGTGTGTGGCAAGAGAGACAAAGAGAGACAGAGAGAGACAGAGAGAGACAGAGAGAGGCAAAGAGAGACAAAGAGAGACAAAGAGAGACAGAGAGAGAGAAACACCTAAAGAACTGGACACAGACAGAGACAAGTGGAGACGTGTTGGAAGATTAGCAGATGCTGTTTATATTGGTGCTGATGTCTAATCAATAGTTCACTGAAAATACACAAACATCCATCTTCTATAATTGGGCTGTAAAGCAGCACACAGACACACACACACATACACACACACACACATACATTTTCATATGTCACTTTTGAGGACATAAATTTGACCTCTGACCCAAAAATCGGATTTTTACCATGTGAGGACACCACACATATTGTGCCTGATTGGATGAGTTTTCCACAAAATAACTGGACTTTAGTCTGAAATTTGTCCTCAAATGATGGATTCACACACACACACACACACACACACCACACACACACACACATACATACACAAACACACAGACACATGTATATACACACACACACACACACAGCAGGAGCTGTGGAAAGGTGAGCCAAGGAGCTGAATCAAGGCATGCAGCCAAAAATCGTGTGCTGCACATTGCCAACATAAAAACCCTAGAGTCCGTCAGTGAAGCTTAAGAGTGAGTGTGTGTGTGTGCCTGTGTTTGTGTGTGAGATTAAAGGCATCTGCAAGGATGTATAATGTGTCTATGAAAATGTATCATCACTGTCATACATCATCAATAAGATAAATGCCTTACAACACAACGAAGCACCTGATCTTCTATTTTTAACAATGTCGATCGAACGAGGAAAAACTGTTTGGTGCTTAAAAGAAAGTGGGTCAACCACAGATGGCTTGGGGTGAATTATGTAAGCCAGACAATGGGATTAACTGAGCTGCTGAACGAGAGGTATCAGCTGACGATACTTTCACACAACTGTCTCTGTGTCTGTCTGCGGAGCACATGCTGGTCCTGAGCCGCCGCTGTCCTGCATGCTGCTGCTGTTTTCATCCTCCATCCCATGTGACTCCAGACCATCATAATTTAGTTTTTGTTCTGGAGGATGCAAAACAACATGGCTAAAGAAATCCCCTGATCAACCACTGTTGTTGTTTTTGATTCCCTGCAGAAATCAAAGATGTCTGGATATCTCATGGACGCCAGGAGACAAAGAGGTGACTCTGGGATCGGCTGCTCCCCTGACCTCTCTGGTGACAATGAGTGGGTTTGGATTTTTGAATGGGAGGCAAGACAGAGGCACATTTGTACCATAAGTAGATATGTATAAATTAAAGCCCCCATGGTTCTCTGCAACAACAAACTCCACATTATTGATAGTTATATGGTTAATTCAGAGAAATAAATGATTTTCAGGCATTAAATATATATAATTATTTATATATTATCTCCCTGAACAAGGACCTGAACCTACTCCTTATCACGTGTTGTCAATTTATTTTCACCGTTTTTAATCTATTTGTAGTTATTTTGTCTCTTTGTGGCTGTTTCTCTTTTCTGGATGGACATTTTGTATTTCTTGATGTTTGTTTTTGGTCTCTATTGGCTTTTCTACCTTTTTATTGTTGTTTTGGTTGTTTCACTGTTATTTGGTATTGCTTTTGTTCTCTTTGTGGCCTTTTTATGTCTCTTCGTAATAATTCTTTATATTTTTGTGGTTTTGTGTGCCTATAGTCATTTTCTTATATCTTTTTGTTGTTTGTGGCCATTTATTTATCTCTTTTGTGATTATTCTGTGTCCCACAAAGGTTGTTTTTTGCTTCTTTCTGCTTGTTTTTGGTCTGTTTGTTATTGTTTTATGCTTCTCATGCTACTTTTTGAAGTACTTTGTCATCTTTTTGTTGTTTTGTATGTCTGGTGGGTTTTTTTAATCTTTATGTTCTTGTTTTATGTCTCTGTGATCGTTTTTGTTTAATTTAATTTAATTTTTTGTTTATTTGTGGTTGCTTTGCATCTCTTCATGTCTCTTGAGATTATTGCTGATCTTTTTTATGTCTTCTATCTTTTTGGGGTCGTTTTTCTGTGTTTTTGTGGTAGTTTTTTGACTCTGGTAATTTTTTGTCTCTTTGAGGTAATTTTTTGTTTTTTGTGGTAGTTTTCTATCTCTGTGTGGTTGTTTTATGTCTTTATGTTGCTGCTTATCATCTTACAGAGGTTCCAGTCCAGATACTCTAAGTACCAAGTACACCAGCTGAGTTCCATCCATGATGTATACTGCCCTTTGATGGGCGGGTAATCAAAGGGGATCAATTAGATCATATGCCATCTATCTGACCCCATCTGACCTCACCCCTGCTGGTGCATCCATGCAGTAACATGACACAATGACCCCTGCAGCATCCGTACCTCTGGCTGATCAGGTGTAAAGACAAACTTCAAGGTGTATACTTCCACTTAAAGCTGGGCTGTAGTTGAATATGAGAACAAATAGCCTGAAAATGGAAGCCTCTCTTCCTGTTTTTATCTCTGTTTGGTCTCATTAAAACCGTCTCTCTTTCATCCCCCTTTTTGATGGAGGAGATCTTCTTTCCCAGTGAACTGACAAGCTGCCAAAAGGAGCAGGGGAGTATAGGCTGCTGAGACATCCTAGAAACCATTACTCACTATCCAGGTCAACTCTGTTCACCGTTCACCGAGGGGGGTTCACCGTCTGCAAACACACCGTCCAGCGTACAGAGCAGCCAGAGCTGGAGTGTGAAGGAGAGGAGGCAGGGCCTGACTGAAAATCCATTACAGTCAGACCTCTTGCCAAAAGATAATGTTGGTCGTGTTGTGGTGGTGGATATAAATTAAGATAATGAAGCTGGGTGACTACATGAGCCTAAGGCTAATACAGTAAGTCCTCCAGATAGTGCTGATGGGGTGGTAGTGGTGGAGGCAGATAATCACTGAGACACTGTGGTCTGATCTAATCCCATTCTGTACAGTTTGTGATACTGTGCCACAGTATCCTTCAAAATAAAAGCAGCAAAATCTAATTCTGACATGATCTGGAAATGAAAATATGCAAAACAAATGCACACTTCCCCATTACAATACACTGACAACTGTTATTGTCATGTGATCGACACTGTGGACTCACTGCATAAAGGACAAGTCAGACATTACAAAAACAATCAGAGTCACAAACTGCAAAAACAGAAACATCCCCCACCCCATCACCACACACACACTCACACACACACACACACACACTCACTCACACACACACACACACACACACACACACACACACACACACACACACACACTCCAGTTACAGCCCCTCTCACACACACATGCACACACGCAGCCTGCTCATACTATAACCCAGACAGCTGATGTCTTACCTATGCACAGCTGCAGGACATATGCGTAGTATGACCAACCCACTATGAGGGCGATGAAGAGGACCGGGATCCAGTACAGAACTCTCTGACAGCCCCGCTTGATACTACGCGAGCCCGACGGTGCCATAGTCTATGAGCGGATCATTTCTCGTGTGCATCCGTGTGTTCCTCCCCTCCCTGTCCTCGCTCAGTGTGTGTGTGTGTGTGTGTGTGTGAGTGTGTGTGAGTGTGAGTGCGTGTCTTCCTGTAGAATGTCACTGCATCGTAGCTCCAGCTCTGATCGGTATAATCGGCAGCTCAGACGCAACATCCCACCACCAGCCTCCCTCCCTCCCTCCCTCCCTCTCTCCCTCCGCTGCCTCTGCTGCTGCTGCACCGCTCCCCTCTGATCGTCCTGCTCAGCCGCTGGCACACACTACAACCAAACATCAGACAGCTCACACACACACACACACACACTCTCTTACGCACACACGTGCACGAACACACGCGCGCGCACACACACAGGAGTCATGCAGCGCCTCCTCCCCACCACAGGTTGCCATGACGTCCGCGGGATGCTGCAAGCCTGGCACATTTTTCAGCCGCCAGCAGATGGGTTCAATAAGTTCATACTCATCAGTGTTCAAACAGCAGGGTCTGTTCACGCTCAACACACACACTAACACACGCGCACACACAAACACGCACACACAGGTTTGCAGATCCTTTCTTTGCAATGACTTTCACTCATTTTGGACAGCCTAAACAAAACATAAAATCCCTAAACCTAACTGTGACTTATTCATTCCTTACCCTAACCCAAGTCTTATACTAAGCCAAACCCCAAAGCATGACTTAAATCTCAAACAGCCCTTGAAAAATTGAGAACCGGCCAAAATGTCCCCAACCCGAAAAGTATGTGTTTAAAATGGTCTTCATTAACATGAACGTATAAGTAGCCACATTGCAGATACACACAACCGTGTTGTATGTACGAGGAGCTCTGGGTGCAGTTATAGCTCTGCCACAAGTTTCAGTGTTTTTTACACTCTGTCCTCTTTACTAGTAATGTGATGTGACTGATTTAATCTGATTATTTACATGTATATAATGTGGTTCCAGGAGGTGTCAGGGTTGGTGTTGGCAGCATATGGCAGTGTGGGTGGAGGTCTGCAGGATCCACCTGCTTCTGCAACTTCACACCCAACTGCACCTGCAGAATCATTCTGCCGTCCTGCGGTACATCCTGCAGCCCTCCTGCGAGGCTGCAATCTGTAGCCGTTGGTTGCTACCATCACATTTAGCTGAATCATTTCTGATGTTTGATGAAGAATATGTTTTACATTTTCTGTACGAATGTGAGAAAAAATGAAGATGGGATTTAACACCTGTTGTGGCTTGCGTGGGTGGCATTCTGCAGCAAACTGACAACATACATCACAATATGTTCATTTCAGTGTTTTGAGAAAGGACAAATGGAAGTGGCTTCAATAAACTGCTGAGAATAGTTGCAACTACAGGGACTTAAACAGACAACTGACCCCAAACAACACTATAGCAGTTTTAATTGGTAAATAAAGAGATGTCATTGACTACATAATGACTAAAAACAGCATTTAATACAATACACATATAGGTTAATGACATAACAAATCATTTTTCTGTCCAATTCTTCTTCTTTTCATTTAAATAGTGGTTTAAATACCTAAATAGATGCTATATATACAGTACACACCTCTTGCCTTTCAAAAAACTACTCTAAATCTATTCAAATGAATTTTCTGCAGCACTGGCATGATTTTAAAATGTAATCCTGTACAATATGCAAAACAGTTGTATTTTCCAACATTATATAAAAAAAACTTTGTGTGGTGATGTGTGGGTGGCACACTGCATGCATCACAATATCCACATTTCAGTCTTACAGAAAGAGCAAGATGCTTCAATGTTGTTTCAAATCTACTGAGAAAAATATGTGCAACTACTGTCAGTGATCAAAACAGACAATATAATACAACTGACTTCAAACACTACAACCATCAGTTTTTATTAGAAACTAAATCTATGTTGTTAAACTTTTACACACAGGTTTAGCATGTCATTTATAAAAAAGAGCCTTAACTAAGTTTTACAAAAATCAGTGTCTCCAAGGAGCAATAGAGATCATTCAATGAAAAAAATACAAACTCCACATACACTGATGGAATTAGGCCAAATCATATATTTTTTTAAAGTCCGATATCTGGTGGAATACAAGACGACATGTATGTTTGTGTCGCCTTAATATGAAGGTAAAACTCTGATCTTGACGGAAGCTAAAATCATTGTTGTCCTCAGGGTGCTGATAGTCCAGCAGGACGAGCTGGGTCTTCTGAGTAGTTCTGATTTGATACATGTTCCAAAGATAATTAGAATTTACACCAGTGTCCCGACAGATTGATTTATTTGTCATGAAAACTCGAACTCAACCTGTTGTATAATGTCCTTGATGACTCTGATGGAGCTTTTCAAACTCATTTTGGCTTGAGTCGACATTTTAGTCACAGTTACAATTAATGTGTGGTTATAGCTATTTACTAGGCTGGGAGGATCTAATAAAAGACACTGCTAAGTTGCACTGTGTGAATTGTCAGATCCGGTTTCTCTTGATTTTCATCTCAGGGACAAAAACAGCTCTGCTTCCTCAGTTTTTACTGGAGTATTTATTTCAGACAGTACACTGTTGTATTATACCACATGGGTTGTTCAAACTGATAAGAAAGTGAATCCTGTTTATCAAAACAGCAATGAGTGGATATGATGAGCAAACAAGCCCAAGCATTCATTTGTCTTGTCATTGAACGGAAAAAGCTCAGACACTTGCATTACTGTTGTTTTTATGTACAACAAAGACAAAATAATTATTAAATACTGAACCACACAATGTTATAAAGTGATGGCTTTATCTAAACCATTAATAGCACATGGTACTGCTGCATCACATTTTAAGGACTTTCATCAAAAGGTTTAAGCACAAATAGATAAAGCAAAAATCAGCATGTTTCTCCCAGTGCACCAACTTTGGCCTAGAATGAAAAGATGAAATAAAACCTTTCTTTCTATTGCAGGCATCTGTTACAGACTTCGTTAAGAGGCCTCTGTAGGTGCAGGATCACAGTATTAGACTGCAAATGATTACCCCACTGAATTAACCATTCCAAGATAAAAAGTCCCTGATTAGAGTCTCAAACACCCACACAGCCCCAGGATCCTGATGATTAATACTGTTAATGATTCGCCCTCTGGTTAAGGATGAAACAGCTTATTTTATTCTACAGTGGTCCTTCCATCAGTCCACTGTGGTTAAAAGGAAAAAAAAAAAGAGGTGAGTCTGGTGAGAGCCGCTCACAGTTTATCAGCTGACTGTTGTGAAAACAGCAACTGAACAAGCAGTTTTCAGCATGTGTGTAGCAAGAGCAGAAAAGAGCCCAAATATTTCATCTTATATTTTATTGCACCAAGTCATCATAAATGCTTCTGCGCTGTAACATCAGCCATCGAGGCCCTAATCTAAAAGAATGACCCATGGAGAGAAGTTTCCAAAAGTCTTCTAGAGGTAGACTAACTAATCAGAACATTCAATATTTGAACAGCAGAAATACAAATACATAAGTCAGGTTAATATTCGAGCCTGTAACATGTTAATATCTTCAGTCTATTTCAGTACAGGATTCCACCCAAAGCAAACACGGCACCAGGAAACAACAGTCTTGAAGAATTCTTCAGTAACACACAGTAGTACAAGTGTAAAGAAGATTAAGTGTAAACTCTTCCTCTCAGAGCTTAAAGGGAAGGTCATGTTACTCCACTGCTCATTAAAACCAACACTAATTTAAGCTGAGTGTCCCGAGAGCGGAAACAAACATATGGCTTTGATATTTTTTTGCATATTCATAAAGAGGTCATCCCTGCCAGTGGCATAAAAATAGCTCTGGTGTTTACTAGCCAAGAAATGATTAACGCTGTTAGCTGCCTGTAGTTAAAGAGTGGAAAACGCCACAGACGGGGTGCGTGCTTTCAGGCCTGCTGGCTCTGAGGGATTCCTGCAAGATTTTTAGCTGCAGCGCTTTGGGAGAGGGGGGGCAGGGAGGAGGAGGATGAAGTGGGGAGGGAGGTGCTGCTGTCCTAAACTGATCTGAGCAGGGGGCTGCAGAGCCAACAAACAACACACACTGGTAAAGCAGTAATAAGACTTTAGGGTAAGGTTTTAGATAAATATGTAAAAACAGTGTTAGAAATCTGTTAATCAATAAATATATTTACAAGTAGATGAATCAATAAATAGTTCAGAACAGGCAAACAGTGGTTAGGCATCCGTAATTAGTGCAATCTAGAGTCCTGCAGCACACCAGTTAAATGAATTTCTCATTATGGGTCACTTGTGTTTGTTTGAGCACTTGTAAGAGCTTCACATTAGCTTGACCACTTCCTGTTTGTGCCACTTCCTGTTTACTTGAAAACCTCTAACTCAAAGCATTAAGATGCTGTAGCATGCATGAACCCCTTTTGCCTGGTAAGAGAGGAGGGAGGAGGTGGAGGGTCATTCAGTTTGTAAGACATGCTGCTGATGAAGGGATCTTCACCTGGTGACAAAACAGAGAGACAAAGAGTCAAGTGTGATCAGATACAAACCAGCAGAGTGTTGTGGTGAAGGCAGACTGGGTTGCATCATTTTTTACCACATCTACACTGAAGCTGTATAGAAGTTAGATAGTGAGGAAGTAGCGTTTGAAAAAGTCTTTGCACTTCTTAATCGTAACGATCAGTGAGCTCAGCAGCCGTTCTACAAGTGTGCAGAAACATTATCAATCTGTCAAATGAACATCGTCTGTGTGTAGAAGTTAGCAGGCTGGATACATAATGGAGGAAACGCAAAAGTTGCATCATGACAAAAGGAAATATCAGTGCCTTCTTCAGACATAAAGTATCATAAAACTAGAAAAAAGATCTTTACGTGTAAAATTACAGTGTAGAAGGAAAATGATCCAATAAAAAATTTCTTTGTCCTCTAAAAACATCAGCCAACATGTGACAGCCCAGTAGATGCAGAGGTTGTGAACAGGGGAGCATTGATCCAGACTCTTCTTGTAAACACAGAGGCTTGCATCAGCTCTAAAAGTTGTCATTTGAAACTGTTAGGTCATGTTCTGATGCAGATTAAAGAAATTACATATCATGTGTTAATTACATATAATGTGTTAATTACTATGCTTCAAGGTGCTGTTTCTTCTGAACAGAGAAAAGCTAGACTGTATACTAGAGATGTATCGATACCACAAACCAGCATCAGAAGTTACATCGATACTGATGAAAATGCTGCATCAGGCATCGGCAAGTACACAAATCTATGTACCAATCTGAACTAATACCATGTCTTTAAAGTATATTAGTCTTACCCAGATAAAACTGTTCTTTTCCCAGAATTCACACGTTGCTGCTCCAAAACAGCAGTTACGCTGTGTTGTCATTACTGGTTCTTGGTTAAAATGTCAGCAATTTGGCAATAATTCATGCTGGATGTGCACTTGAACAGCTACTTAAATTAAGTCATTGTTGTGTATTACTAGCTGTATTTATTTGTGTTGTTTTTCAGTTATGACTGTCAAACTAGATAATAAAAAGGTTCTATAGCATTCATGCTCTGTATGTGTTTTTCAAAGGTTTTAACCTGAGCCAGGTCACACTTCGGACTAAGAGGGTCGGTAGCAAACAGCTGTAAAAAATGGTATCATATCGGTATTTGGTATCGGCCTCTATGCAAAGTCCAGGTATCTAAAACAATATCGGGAAGGGAAGATGCTATTACAACATCTCTACTTTATACTACGCTACAGCTCAGAGTGATTTCCAACCAAACAGTATTTCCCAAAATTTTAAACTATTCATTCAACTGCTGACAAGGTTACATACTTTACCAAAGAGACTTATACACTGAGGCTATTTGATTTATATTTTATTTTTTATTCCCAGATTTCTCAAACTACACTTTTCACACTGCAGCACAGCTCAGAACGAGTCCTTTCCCAAGTGTTACCGAGGCAAATTATCGAGCCCTGTGCAGAGAGGTGCATTTCCTTTGAAACATTTATACGGCTTTAGACTGCACTGCTCACTGCACATGTATGCAGACTTAAGCTGGTATCTGGTGGCAGTTGATCAGGCGTTAATATTACAGTGTAACTTAATGCTCTGGGCCGAGGAGAGCGTGGGCCTCAAATCACATGTGAAAAGACTGACTGTATGCTGCAGTATGCGTGGCTGGAAACTGTGTGAGAGAATTAATGCTGCGTGTTTACGCCTCACAATATACATCATTCATGCATTTTAATTATTGTCTCATTTATAAGAGAAGGCTGGCAGTGACAGAAGACTTTTACCTATTTGCCTGAAAGCTCCCTCTTCATGCAGGACTTGAAAGAGATGAACTTCTCCTCCACTCTGACACCCTGCGAGCATGTGTGTGTGTGTGTGAGTGAGACAGAGAAAGAAAGTAGAAATATGATTAGACCAGTTTCTTGATGTCCCACTAGGTGGCAGTATGATTTCACAAACGTCAGTAAATCCAGACATGGAGGTGAGATGTGTTTCAGTAATAAAAAGTGGCAGCAGTGTAATTTAGACATGATGGCATGGAGGTGTTTAAGTGTACCATTACCTAAAGAAAAAAAGAGACATAATAAGTGCTTCCTTAAAGTTGTAATTAAACAGGAAACATGGTGTTTGTGTTGGTAATAGTTACTTAAGCGGGCCTAATTGTGTTAAAGCACCCTGTTTTGAAAATAAACAAGCATTTCCGAGCTCAGCGTGGACCCACATTTGCCTGTTTGTCCTTCGTCAGATTAAATCTGGCGTGACTTTGCAGCCATGAGTCCATCTCTGAGCTCTTTTTGGCATTTACACAGATTACACATTGAGAAATAGTCGACAGAAAGAATGAGAACACGTCTGAAGCTGATGAGGGAGGAGAAGAGAAGGTCGAGCGGGTACTGTCTCCTTCACTAAACTGTATAGATAAACGGTATTCGTGCTGTCTCACCCCTTTACCACGATGGAGCCGGTCCTTCATTACGCCGATAAACTCCTGGTGGCTGAGTTTGTCGTCGTGATCCTCGTCGAAAATCTTGAAGACGGTGTTGACCAAATGGCGTGTCAGCTTGATGCCCGTGGCCACGTAGACAGCTCGGGTAAACTCCTCTGCAACATGACATAAAAAGACACGATATAAGAAGTATTTTTGAACCTCTCTGCTTGAACCACGGGGTAAGCTTCACTCAGTTCATGGATATCTTTGAGATCTAGTAGGAGGCCACTTGGAGACTCTAAGATTCCGAGCTGTGTCTCCTGATCCTACAGAAATACAGACAGACGCAAAGCCAACCCAAGATGAACGCTCCTAAAAAAGACTGAGAGACGGACTGAGCAGCTGGATCATAACAGAATTAAATCATCATACTGTATCTACACCTGCTTTTTTACAGGATGAGTACTCCAAACCAAACGTTTTTCTTGAGTGAATGAAAGCTTCTGATATGTAAAAAGAACTTAAACAAATGAAGTGGCTCTTCATTGATCGGTGGAGGTCAGGCAGGTCAGTTCACTTGGAAGGACTCTGAGACTGTGAAAAGAAGTGCATCATGTCCTCTGTGGCTCTGAAAGAGCTTTTCAAAGTTTGACAAATGACCCTGATGATTTAATCAGATTATTTTTACACTTGACAAAAAAATTATGAAAATGCAGCACACTGCCGATGAGTCACTGCCCCTGTGCACAAAGCCATGTTTTACACAGAAATGTTTTCCATTCAGTGTGGAAGAATATGACTGTTACAGAGCCCTGACCTCTACCCCAACCCAACACCTTCAGGAGGGTGCAACACAAACTGAACTCCAGGTTTTACTGTCCAACATCAGCTGGGGCTCAAGGCTGAATGAGATCAATCCTCAAACCAGGTTTCGACATTTGCAAACGTTTTTGAAAAGATGCTGTTAGCGGTTCCAGGCTGTTTGTAGAATATGTTCGACAAACACAGGTGGTTGTAATATTCACGTGTCCACATACCTATGGCCATGTGGTTAGAACATGTTAACACCAATAAATATAAACGTATAAAAACAATTCCAAATCTTTAAAAAGTAAATTTGTTTTATGTTTAACAATAAAATAATTATAACTTATGCTTCCACAAGCACATTCACATTTCTAGTGAATACAGCTAGAACTAGAATGGCACTCAGTAGAGCGTATACCTCCACAAGGGCCCAACCGTCCCCTTAAACTCAATAAGATGCACCAAATTACACACACCCAGTCCCTAAATATGTCAGGTCTTTTCATGGAGAGCCATGAATTATTTCCTCGGAAAACTGGCTTAATTGGCAATGTAATGATCTCTGTTCAGTAGTTTTCATGTAATCCTGCTGACCCTCCAACAAGTCAACAAAAAAACAGCACTTTTATTCATCCTCTGCAATGTCTGCACCTTGAATCTGTGTGAACAACACAGTGATTGGAAGTCTGATAGACAATGAACAGAGAAGAAGTCACACTGGAAAAACAGATATAAAAAACCAAAGAGTGAGTCTCGTCTTTACCTTGACCAATGGAACGGTTGGCGAAGTTGTACATCTGCATGGCGATTTTAAAATCCTCCAAATTGTTTAAGAACTGGAAGAAGGACCTGAACTCGTCAAAGGTGATTCCCTGCAGAGAGATAACAACATGAAAACCACGTCTTTATTGATGAAACATAAACCTTGTGAAATGTAAAGTGCCTCATAAAGCAAAGGGCTGCGAACATGTGTCAACACTCCAGCTCAGGATGGTGCTCCAATCACACCATACATAATAATATGCTTGCTTTCATCCTGTGGGGGGAATCATTGTGTGTGTGTGTGTGTGTGTGTGTGTGTGTGTGTGTGTGTGTGTGTGTGACCTTGAAGCCATCAGATAGATAACACACCCGAACACTTAAAGTATACACTGCTGGATTTTCCCTGCGCAGCATGGACACACTGGGCTGTCAGCAGCGGGGGGAGGACGGTCGCTTTTGGGAAGAGGTCAGGCCATTTTGCAAACTTTTCTAAAGCAGATTAACCTGATACTTGCACAAACAAAAACAAAAAGTGATGAATCCCCAAACATCTCAGGCCTGGCTGATGACTCAAACACAGAGCCCATTGATGTCCACTCAACCGTCCCGCAGCTACTAGTTCCTCCTCCCGCGAGGGCCCCCGCTTAACGGGCGAAGCACACAGCCGAACAAATGGAGTAATGACTAATCTGTGATGCTTTGCTGTTTGAACAAGGTGAGGGCCATAAAATATCTCTCAGCCTAATGATGAGACCCACTTGATTATCAATGGAGATCTAGCAACAGGCTACTCGAGGAGGATGAGGAGGTGCTGGCGTCTTTTCACACGGGTCAGCGTGACGAGAGGAAGAACACATTACAGCTCAAAATGAGGATGCTTCACTCAACAACTTATTCACACAGTGGTAAAGAAAAGAACAGAGTAAAATACCAACATACTATACTTGAGTATATGTGAGTGTGTATATATAAATAATTCTGTTTCAATGTTTTACATCCATGTGTAGTAATATAGAGATTGCTTTTTCTATTGTAAAGTCTAATGTTTGGAGAGAAATCTTTGGAGGGACATGTCATCTCTGGACCTGCTCAACTTCGTTTGCAAACTTTGACCTTTTTTTCCAAAATAATGAGTTTATTGTGTTCAGAGAAAAAAAATCTGCTCCTGTTTTTTTTCTGAATTAACAAAATATAATTTAGTTACTTAGAGAGCATTAAAGCAAACATGTTTGTTTGATTCCGTTTTATTTTGGTTTGGTTGGATGACTTTTCGCAGGCACCTCAGAACTTTGGGACTGTTCAGACAGAAAGTACAACAAATGTAAGCTTTCTCTTTAATTCATAAAAACAGAGCATAACATTTTTTTTCTCTAATGAATGTAACACCAATTTCTTTCAGGGAGCTGATGAGACGATCAACCTCGCTCATATCTCTCATGGTTAAATATTGATGTATGGAAAGTAATTCACAAAGAATGGGCATCAGTTGTGTTACCATTGTGTCTCTTTAAACTGAGCTATACAGAGATGCAGGTAATCTGTTGTTTGTCAATCATGTTTGTTAATAACTTTAGACAGAGCCAGGAAACCTGCTCTTTTTACTTAATGTGTCATGAGGGGAGTGTGGGGGGCCGAGAGGGTTTTTTGTGGCTTCAGTTTTGTGACGTTTTATTGGATTACGACTTGAATCACACAAAGTCAATCTGACGGAGAAGCAGCGCACCTTTTCATCCGGCATGCTGTGTCGCACGTTCTCCAAGTATCCGCTGACGTCGTCCACGTTGGTGAAGCGTAGGAGGATCCGTGCAAAGTCTTCCTCGCTGATGGTGGGCATGCCTTTGGAGTAGGAGAGGAACTCGATCTCAAGCACCTCTGTCTGCAGGTTGTCCATGAACCTGGAGGAGCGAGACGGGCGGCAGCTGCTGAGCTCACATGCACGAAGGAACACTAAGAAGACTACTGAGGGTTGAGCTGTTTGAGGTTTACATGGTGTGAAAATGATACTGGAGAGAGATAGGTGAATTTTCTCAGGGACATCATGATCAATAACAAAAGTTTCCACAACTCACTTGTAAAAATCTTCAAATTTCAATTCAGCTTTGCCTTTTCTCCCAAAGAAATGCACCAGCAGCGTCGTCTCTGTCTTTTCATCCACCTGCAGAAGGAGCAAACGTTAGCTGCCTCATCACTCCTCATAGCTTTAAATATCCACCTCAAACGTGATTTGTAACAGCAACAATTATAAAAGATACTAAATCACATTATACATTTGTACAAAATCTCATCTCAGTTCCAGCAGCCATGATACACTGCAGTGTCAGCTAAACATTAACAAAGACATTTGTTTCCCCAGGCTGAAACTTGAATTAAAGATGTTAGTTAATAGCCAGATTGAGCTTTTCAATAATTACTCAGAGTTAATGGTTAATTTTCAGCGGGCCAGCATTTCTCTCATTTCTTCACGGTACAAACATGCAGCAGATTTATAACACATGCTTCCCCCTGTGTTGCAGATGGTGTTTTACACTCTGTGAGCTCTTCTGATAACAAGAAGACAGATGCACCAATCATGAGCATGTCCACTGTGGTTGCTAACAGTAAGAAGAGTCACATGGTACAGCATGCTGTGTAGTATTAATGTATAAGTGTATAGTCAAAGTTGAAGAGGCATCTTAGAGGCCGCTTCACTACCTCGGTGAGATCAGAAAACAGAACTTGACTCGTGCCACGTCTGAGAACATCCCACATGCCCCGGGCCTCTGCATGCTGACTGTCTTTTTTAAGAACCTGTGGCAGCAGTTGAAGCACAACTATTAGAAGAGAATATACATTTTGTTAACAGGATAAGGGGAATGAAAATGGATGGAAGGTAGAGACAGAAGGAGGGAACAGAGACACGTAGCAGAGGACAGACAGACAGGTGAGCATGCAATCCACTGAGACAACAATCTGACATCACTCTGTATTCTCAGAAAACAGAGCAGAAACAGAGCGGGGCTGACACCAGTGTATGTGAGGCCCATCAGCCCTGACATGAGCCTGCTCTGCAGCGATGCATGCAGCCTCTTGGCAGGACAACGAGCCAACACAGCTGACACATGTCCAAAGCATGCAGGTCGTCGCAAGATCTGAGGCGCGATTCCTGCCTGGTTAACAATGTATCTGAACCACCAGTAAATGTAATACTTGTCTTCAGGGAAAATGTTGTGAAAAGGATTCAGATATTAATTTGTTTTTGGAATTTGTGTTGTGAATATTGTCTTTTGTCTGCCTCACACTTCCTGTTTGATACTGTCTGGAACAATGAAGCCACTCAGAGCTATTTTCTCGATGAGGTCACGCTCTTGCTCTGGGATTAATCAATTATCATTATTATTTTTATTACAGTTTACACAGCTCACTTCATTCTCTCAGCCATCAGAGAAAAAACTAGGATTTCTCACTCCCAGGTAAAAAACGACCCATGCTTATATCACTTCTTCAGTCTCACTGCCTCCATGTCAAGTGTCGACATCACCTCACTGAAAAAGCACACAACCAACCAGAAACCTCCAGCTGTCGACACGTGTTCTCATGTACTGCTTCGCTTGGTTTCACAATATTTATTTATCTTATTCAGTTTTCTTTTTATTTCATCTCACGAGCCCCGAGGGGAAATGTGAGACAGCTGATAAAACAGCTTTTCCTCTGAGCCTCGTTCCTTTTCACCAGAGAGGGGGAGATTTACGACATGATCCCACGGCTAATTACAGAACAACTCTTTAATGCACCACGCTCGGTCCTGTGAAAAGATCCGACACACTTGCAGGTAGAAGATGGTGGGGGAAAGCCCAACCGCAGCACCGAAGACATGCCTGTTATGTGTTTTTGAAAAAAAACAACTGACTTTTGAACTTTTTGCTGGCGAGGTACCTACAGTACGGTGGGAGGAATCAAAACAAAAGAGACACACCTAAAGGTACAGCGTTCAAACAGTGCTCTGAAAAGGCAGCTCGGTGCCTGTGTTAGCTGTAGGCACCTCTCTGTGTGTGCTGAGTGCTCTTCACACTGCTGCGTCTCCTCTCTGACGGGCACCTTCATGGTCAAACCCATCTCAAAAGGAAACCCGAGCCCAAATACCACTCCTCAAGAAACTGTAAAAATAAAACATGGGGGTCCGGGTGAAAACGTTGTCAGTCTTCAGGTAAGTGGAATCTCTCTCCTGGCATTGACAAAAGACGAGTACATAAATCATCTGCGCTGCGGCCCCTCCACAGACAATTTGTCAGATAATGCTGAAGTAGTGATGCATTTCAATTTCACTGAATGTGAATGAGGCCGTGTGGGGTTAACATTGACAAATACGGGTGATGTCAGCACTGAGACATGTTTCTTTTTCGCCATGCAGAAACATTCTCAGGTTAGGGAGACCTCATGCCAAAAACACACGCAACAGGCAGAAGAGTTCATTTTCCTCCAGGGAAAAAGAACAATACGCACATTGTGCGGCTGGGATTTGCGATGACCGTAAAGCTGCAGGATCTGAAATGCAAAAAAAGAGAGAAGGTGCATGCATGACAGAAGATCCATTCATAAATTACAAGGTATTGTAGAAGAGGAACATGGCTCCAGATGAGTTTATAAGTCAAAGTCGTCAAGTTTAAACCTGGATTAATCCTCCTTGCCTTAAGCTTTCATGAATGCACCCAGTCTTCATCCTCAACTTTGTCTTTTTGCAAGGCATCGTTATACTTCCAATCTAGAGTACCCATTCTAATGATCTTTTTGATGGTTATACGGGCGTCAGATTAATTCAAGACTGTCCAGAGATGCTAACATTTTGTCCCTGCAGAGTAAGCTCCTCCATGTTGTGTTTGTGTGATAAGACCTCAAAGAGTTGCTCTTATCACTCCACTCAGCTCTGCCTGTGTGCATCCACCTGCATGCGGCACAAGGCGGCCCTGCCGAGATGAAAGCCTCAGACATGTTTTACCCTGTATGACCACATTCACCTTATGTACCGCCTGTCTTCTTTCTAGGAAACTGCAAGTGTTGCAAAAGCCTACCACGCAGTCTGCTGCTTTGGCAAATTACAAAAATATAGATGAATATAGATCAAATAATCAATTGTTTTTTGCTCTGCTGGTTTGGTCTCACTAAACCATCAGGTGTTATCTGATGGTAGATTAGCCTCTGGAGAGAATGACCAATATGTTGGGGCTTCTGGTGTAGACAGCAGTTATCAGAGCCAAGACTCCATCCTCTGTTCACCTCACACAGTTTACAGTTCGACTAGTTTGTTTAGTCACACAAGTTGAAGTGTTTCTAAAAAAAACTAGTGATACTTCTTGGTGTTTTACGTCGAGACTATATTTTGGTTAATTGACAGGTTCTGCCTATGAATGCGGATTAATAAAAAGATCTGCACAGTCACATGCAGATTCTGTTTAGAGAGATTACCCTAAATTTATGTTTGCAAGAACGGTCCATTGTCGGGTTTCGAAACTCATACCTTCTGGTCCAACCTTTGCACGTCTTCACTAACTTCCTTTCTGTCCTTTTTCTTGCGGAAGATTTCTTCGAGCTGGAGAGAGGTCAACACGTAACAGATTGTAACAAGCGATCAAATGCATCTCAATATAACTGATTATCAAGAAGTGGTCCATACCACCAAGAACTCCATTTTGTCCACCATCTCATTCCCATCGGCATCAAACATGTTGAAAGCAATCCTGAAGCCTGCATGGGGCTCTGAAATCACACAAAATTAAAATTTAAAGTCAGCTTTATAATCTGTTTATAATATTTGAAAAGTGAGTTCAAATATTTACTTACTTGTTAAAATGCAGAGCAGGAAGAGGTACTCTGTGTAACTGATGACACCTGAACAAAAGGAAAAAAATGAAGCAGAGAAACAAAAACCAAGATGTTCCCTTTTCCACACAAGACAGCATCAAATAGCATTAAGGACAAGCTGTTTATGTTGAAAGTCATGCGTCCGAGGGGAATAAGCCGTCCACAGAAACAGTGCACGCCTTCAGACAAGAGTAATCTCCCTGCTCTCACTGATAACATCTTAAAAGGTGCCTTCTCCTTCATGCTTGGTGTTCCTCTCACACAAACACAGGCTTTACAACTGAGCTGACCTATCTGGACACAAACCCAAACAAATTTGAAGCCCACGGCCTCTGATCGTGTTTGGGTAACAAGGTGTAATACATTCTCAAGTGATCTGTCACTGATTGAGAATGGCCGATTCAGGTTCTGTGTCCCGTCCTTCAGCTCCCTTTGTTGTGTGACACGGAGAAGGGAAGAGTAAGTGTCGGGAGACATCTCAGCCGACTCGGGAGGCTTCTCCCCTCTGCCTCTGAAAGCATTCCCAAGCTTTTGTTTGCTCGGGGAAGATAGAGAATTCAGCTCAGATAGTTCTGGGTGACTGCTCCGGGTGTTATGGGAAAAGAATTCAGGTAGAGACTTCGCTGGAAGGAGATATTTTCAGAAAGAGGAGCATTAAAGTGACAAAAAGAAAAACTGGCGACAGAACAAGGTTTTTTATTACCCTGTCTTATATTTCCTCTAGAGGAGGGAAGTATCTAGCTAATAGGATGATGTAAAAACCACTGGAACACATGTACAAACTGAGGTGTGAAAAGAGAATTAGTGCTGCGTGCCATTAGACAAAGTTCATCGAAAAATTCCCCCTGACAAAGTGCTCCATCCTCCTCGTTGTTTGGCAGGTACGGCCTTATAATGACAACAGATCTCTGGCTTCAAAGCCTTTAAAGCTTAAACGGGTTGAGAAGGGTGAAAAAAACTTTTAAGATTCCAGCCATGTCTCACCAATACCACACACCTTCACTCCTGGAGGGACCCCCCCCCCACCCCTCCCTGCAGCTCAGCCCCTGAGCTCGAGTAGATGTTGTTAGACAATACAAAGAATTCCACAGAAACACTTCATACAGAGTGGCAGTCCCACAGATGTAATCCAATGCCATTCTTAGGCTTCATAATGTCCGCGGTGATCAGGGGGGTGGCCGGTGGGACATGTCTCAACATAGCTGGGTTCAAACAGCTCCCTCGCTCTCTAAAGCGACGCTTTGTTCGCAGATCAATCCCGTCCTTTTTCCCCCTGACAAAGCCGCAAAGTTTAACAGCAGGATTAAAAGCCCCAAATCCCAGCGTTGGCACTTAGCTAAAGCAACAGAGGAGAGAGAGACAGAGGAGAGCAGTGAGATCTGATGCTCCGCTGGCTGGTCTGTCACACCGAGCTGGAGTGAGCAGGCCCAGGTGGGAAAATTAAAAGAAAACTAAACGCTCACAACGGCGACTTCATTTTCATGAGTCTGAGCTGAGGTTTGCAGTTGAGGAGGGGGATAGTTTCACTGCCCACATCAAGTTCAATTCGATTCTCAGTTGAAACACAATCATCAAGACTCCACATGTGCAGTGCTCGTATACAGTGCCATCACAGATGTTTACTTGTGGTTTCTGTCTGCTAGTTTCCAACTTACTGCCTCTCTATGGACTGCATATTATTCGATTTCTTTATAATTTTTAAAAGCACAAAAATCATTTCAGAAATCATAGAGACATCTTGAGCAGTCCTGAAATCCAGCTGCTTTCCTCCTAAAACACTCGAGATTTGTTGAGTAACAGCATGAAAGACGTCAGTTTTTAGGGCTACAATCAACTATTGTTTTACCAATTGAACTGACAACTTCGAGCTTAATAAGTGTGACGCACTTATTAAATTGTTCACCCTCTGAAAGTCTTTAGTGTTTATGGTTTAATGCACAAGTACAAATTAAAGAAAAGGAGCAAAACAAATATCTGTATGTTTCTTTTCCTATCAAACATCCAATGGAGATTTGTTTTGAAGAATGCTGCTAAAACTTCACTCAAGTCTAATCAGTGCCATTGTAGCCTTTTTTTAAGGCATGAATTTACGACTCCATACATTTTGCTTTATTTCCAAGTATTGGGAACAATTGGGAAAAGAGAAGGAAAGCAGCTCACTTTCAACAAATTATTTCCAAATTTCCAATTATTTTCTACTATCACACACAGTCTTTTGACAATTCATATGATATTTGTCTGTAAATAATTCATGATTTATCCTCTTCCTTTATAACTTTAAATTAAACATTTTTAAATCTTTCTAAGAACTTTTCATTTTCCCTTCAGTTAGTACAAAACTATAAACTGTTCTTTACAGGAAACTTCATTTTGTTATTTGATTTTTTATTAAAGAAACAAGGAGGAAACTCCTGTATATTATAAATGGACTAGGCCTTCCCACAAAGGTTACCTGAGAATAAATCTACAACGGGCTGATGGAGAGATAAGATAGCATTTACAGCACACCCTCTGTGCCCTGCATTAAACCAGGCTGACGTGCACAACAGGGCACACTGAGCAAGACATGGAAGACCTAAATGTGACAGCCTTAGAAAATAAAAGGCGAATTACATATAATGAAGGGATTTATGTAAGCATCTCTAATACATCAAGCGAGTTCCTTACCACGTTCACGAAGATTCCTAAACAAATTGGAAGATCCTTTCCAAACAGCCGGAGTGTCAGCCAACATCTTGTCTAATTCCTGAGAGAGGAGAGGAAAATCCCTGATCACTCATTCATTTCTAAATCCTGGGTTTTCACAACCTAACACAGTGTTTGCTGACATTAAAGGCAGCACAGAGGTAAAACAGAGAATCTTCCCAAGAGTATTTTATAAAAATTGAGCATTTATTTGACTGGAGTAGCCTCTTCATATAATATATCTTATGCAGTATTAATAGGAGCTGTAAACTATAAACAAAACAAAAAAAAAGAACAACTCACCTTTTTAGTAAGTGACTTCCAAGCTCTTCTACCTAAAAAAAGAAAGTTAACAGTTAGCAGCTGATATCTTTGTGGGTTTTACATTTTGATACTTGTATGTATGTCCTGAAACAGAACTGGAAAACAAAAGTGAAAACCAGTGTTTGCATGGACAACAACATAAGGTGCATATCTCTGTGGACACATTCCGATGGTCAATAAATCAGCAGATAAGATGGATGCATTGTAAAAAACACCTGGCTGCGAAATCACATCAATAAAATGGACAATAACCCTCCACTGACACATTAAAAACCTGCGTGTAAAGCTGGGATTATGATTTGATTGCTCACTCTCCACCAATATCAGGAAGGGGGGGTGTCTATGCAGGTATGTATCTGATTCTTTCAATGAATGTCTCATATATTAATAGTTGACATGACAGCACTTTAAGTTTTGACCAAATGGTTCACTGCTAAATGGCCGTAACCGCATCAGACTGTGCTCCTTCTGTTGAGTCTGAAATTAAAACCATCTCCGATGAAAAACATTCATGTCCAAGGCCATCCTAAATATCCACAGGAATGACAAAAGTCTCTTTTTACAGCCATCAATATAACCATAAAACACCATGATTACCATTTTGCAACACATTAGCCGTCAACAACCAGAGGATAATAACTGAAGGAGTGCTCCTCCATTAGTGCAGCTTGTTTTCCATCCTCAATATATGTTCAACACTTTACAGCAGGCCAATCCCAACAAATCATAATCAATCGCACTCAACACAACGCCTCATCATTACGTTCATGAAATCCATGTTCAGTTGTTTGGTCTCTCTGTTGGGTCCCTGCGAGTTTTAGTTGCCACATAAATGAGCCATAAAAGTGGGGTTGCTGGTAAAGATGTCTATCTTTATGCAGGTTATTATGACTGAAGCACTTCAAGCTGCAACTTATTGTCTGATGACACTTCCCAGGGCCTCAGCAACTAGACATGTTCCAGGAAAGAACAGTGAGGGGCCTTTTACAAAAATTCTGGAGTAATAGGGGAATGAAGGAGCAGGGGTGTATCCCATGACTGGATGGAAGTGTAATTAAGCAAATGGCTGCCAACTAATAAAGTTGATTCTTCTGCAGAGCTGAAAGAGATCACGCAGAGTTGCATCTGCAGTGCAGCACGTAGTCTCACTACAAGCAGAATAAAGAAAAGTGCATCTGATTCCTAATGTAAGTGTGAGTGGTTGTTTGTCTATATTTAGGAGCCCTGTGACAAACTGGCAACCTGTCCAGGCTGTACCCCTCCTGTTGTAGATACATTGACTAATCATTTTTGTATTCATTTTTTAAGGGATTATAAACAAATCTTTGTTGATTGGTTTGGAACTTTGGGATATTTTAAGACATCACACTCAATTTGATTATGTAATTTGTTATGTAATTAGTCTGAAGTCATTTAGTCATATTATGCATTTTAAAATGACTGAATACTTGTTTCCATTGAAAGAACTTTTGTTTGTCATCACTTGTCTTGAGTGAAATCTCCTGAGACAGTTCTACAATAAACTGTCACTTTTTTATTATCTGACTGTTGGACATTTTTTATAAACAGTCTATGGTGCAGAGTGAAGTTAGAAAACTTTGTGTTCATCCGACCTGGTTTATCTGCAGTGAAGATTTTACATTAAATGTATTCCATGACACAAAACTTGATTTGCTGTATTATTGTAACATATGTGGCTTATATATAAGTTTTAATGATTTACTTAAAGGTTCAATGTGTAGAATTTAGTGACATCTAGTGGTGAAGAAGTTGCATGTTGCAGCTGAACACCCCTCACCTCACACTCCCCTTCCAAACATGAAAGAAAACCTGTGGTAGCTGTCATACAAACTCAAAAGGTGTCTAGTTTGTCCTGTCTGGGCTCCTGTAAAAAAGAAATCTTACACACTAAAACTTAACTTATTTTTAATACATATTTTCTACTTCAGGTGTCTATTAAGCAACCGACACAATCTTCAGACCCAACTTCACAACTTTTAAAATTAAAAGCTCTGTAATTAAGCTCGATATAAAGCATTTCAGCAAGAAAACGAAGCTTGGGCTTTTACTTTGTAGACAATTTGGTAAAAAGGAAGTTATTCTGTAAAAGTTTTTGTCATGACGGAGATCAGCACCCGCAGCAGACCCTCTCATGAACGTGTCAGTCCATTATGGTGAAATAAAAAACAATTCTAAAAAATGATCAGGCGGTTATGTTTACCTGTGCTTATACTCTTGATCAGTAGACAGACGAGTTGGTCTGCAAACTAAGGGCACACTGCCCTGCCCCGACTGACTGGTTTATTCAAATTGTATTTATAGTGAATGCATTGCATTGCAAATTCAACACTGCACTTCCCTGTGCCATTAAGAACACATATGCCAAGCTGGAAGCCATTAAGAGAAATGTCTGTATGGAGAGCATTTGTCACATTTGTCACAGCTATACCATTTGACCTGGTATAGCTGCTGTTCTTAGGTTTTAAATCATATCAGATGAAGTTTGCAAGAATTGAAGATGTCTTACTCCTCTGGGCACTTAAATAACCTGTTGTGTGTGTTGAATGTTTTCAAGTTTCAGGAGCACACTAACTTTTGGGTTCGTTCAGAGTGACGGATTCAATGAAGTTGAGTGGAGTCATGTAGAGCTGGCCATCGTACTCCACTGAGCTGAACAGACGAAATCTGTTTTCCGAGGACGACATGTACACGTCTCCATCATCCAGACTGTAGCTCTTGGCCTGTGAACACACACACACACATACTGTCCTGAAATATTGCAAATCATATCAACAGTGATAATACTGTCTGAAAGATGCTTTTCATGAAATCCATGGAAGCTTTTCTTGTCACGAAAAGCCGCCGCGCTCACATGGGACAACAAAGAGGCCCATGCTTTAATTCAGTAATGGGGCGCATGTTATGTCAGCCCTATTTTTCATCCCCGTTCACCAGATAATGTCCCTACAACGGTTCAGATAAGGAGGCTGGATTGGTGAAGACAGAGTGGATCTCTCCTTCAGGTGGCATGGTGCCAGGTCCACTGGGCACCGAGCAAACACCCAGGGAATGTGTGCCCCCCTCTGCTTAACCATTAAACCCCCTCTAACCACCCCCACCTCTCATCAAATGTCAGCCCCTCCGCCAAGCCCCAGTGTCCAGTTTCCTACGTCCCTGAATTCCTGCTGCCTGTGGTCACCAGTCAGGTTTACCCTCCTCCTACCTGCAGATATCGCACAAGGAATCTCCTGTAGCTACAGAGGTGGACAAGCCAGGTCTTATTTACATGTTTGTTTACTGTGATCTGTGAAACTCATGTCAATGTTGTCAACACATGTCACATGAAATGCTGTTATATTGGCTAATAGTGCCAAATACACATTGAACAGGGAAGACAGAATAAGTAAATGACATTTCACGGTTTCCTGGAAATGTTGTTATCACTTGGATTAATCTCTCAGTTAATGAGAAAATGGAGATCACAAGTTATTAAACTCCGCAGATGCATTATCCAATCAACTGAAACACACCCATCTCAAAATACACTCGTGGCTGATTTGTGAGACTTTTTACCTCATCACCTTGTGATCAGTAGATTAAAGCTAAGGTTGGTAATCAAGGAAAAGTTAGCAATAGCATGCTACACTTTGAAAATAATCAAACCAATACATTCCACCCCCTCCCATCAGCCCTTTCACTTCTGGCTGTTTTCTCTGCTTTAGTGGTGTATGCCCCCTCGGCTGAGCAGTGGGAGCACATGCAGGCAGGGTCAGTTAGTGACAGACAGCTACACCAGCCAATCCTTTCATTAGGACCAAATTAAATTGGTCATGCTTATTGCAAGGCCATACACACCTGCTTTCTTTCTTTCTTTCTTTCTTTCTTTCTTTTTCACGTTCTTTTTTGATGGGTGACATGACAAGGATTTCAACAAATTGAGAAACAACTGAGCAACCATACATTTATTCGACTTAACATCTGAGCTTTACAATAGACACACTTTTTTACTGGCCTAAACTTCTTAGTTTTGAGGATTTGCTGCTTCACTGTTTAGTATGATTATAAATTAGGAATAGCGAAACATGAAATTGTAATGAACCATGATGTGCTCACCAATATCTAATGAAGAACAGTGACACATTTTTTAAAATAAATGATCAAAGGATTATGAATTATATCCACGGTTCTAGTCACACAAAATAATTAGTGATTTATCTCAGGTGATATTTGTCTGTTTTGTACATGAAGTGGCCAAAATAATGACAACTTTAAAAACAACATCATGTATTATGACCTTGCAAATGACCATGTTGATAATCATAATTAATCAATAACTAATAGCTCTGATATATAACACAAATTCACACTAAAAGCTTCCCACAGCTCCAGGTCATTGCTTTTGCATTACAACACACTCAACCTAATTTTGTCCACCCCTCAAAGAATATAAATACTCTATAATATAAATGTATTTATATATTCTCTCTAAAGTATGTATTAATTCTGCAGCAGAAGCAGACATTTAAAACATTTAAAAATGGTAGCCATCAATAAGTCACGTGATAGGAGATGCCTTTGGTCGTTTTTCCATTTCAGCACCAAAGGTCGTGGATAGCTCCTGATGGTGACCTCATCCTTAGTATTAATATCATTAATATTAATATTACTGTAATGATACTATTACTGTTGTAGTTGTATCTGCTTAAAGAAGTCAGAGAGGAGAATGAACGGAAACGCAGATGCTCTGGTCATCACCTTTGTGTTGCTACACGACAAGCCGACACTCAGATAGAGGTTTATGCAGTTTTTACACGATTGTTAAAACAATGGGGTCACTAGTGCTCCACTGTTGGATAGTTTGCTCCAATGTACCTTGTCGGTGGCAGAAACTGACGGCAGCACCAGATGCGAGAGTCGAGCCTCGACGTGGCTCCTCAGTCCGGCGCTTCTACCGACCACCGGGCCCCGGTAATAATAATAATAATAATAAGAACAAGCAGCTCCGGTGACGCACGCTCCGGCCGCGATCACTTTGAGCGCCTTGGCCGCAGGAGAGGACGGCTGCTGCCGCCGCGCTGCTGCTCTGGAGCCGGTGGTGTATGAAGCGATCAGCCTGCGCAGGGCAGCCATGTCTGTTTACACACACACACACACACACACACACACACACACACAAACACACGCACACACACAGTGCAGAGAGCTCGCGAGAAACGCCGTGGGTATAGCTCTGCTATTCCAAGACGCTCCGGGATTAAAGGGCGTCACATTCATGAGAACGCATGAAGGAAATGTTGGATTATTTTTGATGTAATAATTATAAAATTATGTCTCATCAATGACACACATTTACTCTGAGGAGATTTAGGATGTAAAGTCAGAGCTCAGAGGTGGAAGCCCCCATGCAGCCCCACCATCAGCCCCCTTTCTCTCTCTCCCTCTCTCTCCCCGTGTCTCCCCTCCTGGTTTATGCCTTATAGGAGAGAAGGGGGAGAGGTAGAGAGAGAGGGAGGGAGGGAAGGAGGGAAGGAGGGAGAGAGAGAGAGAGAGAGGGGGAAAAATCCCTGCCAGGGCACGTCTGAACTGTGACTGCCCCGCCCATTACTAGTCCTGTGGTTCTGCACCTGCCTCACCACCCCTGCCACTTTGAGCGCAAAACCTCCCCGGAGCTGCTTCACCTGCACTGCAGCGTTTCTCCAGCCCGCACCGCTCCATCCGCCTCTGCTGCACACGGGCCGAGGTATCACCGTCCACTGCTGCACAGGTAATGCAACATGAGGAGCAACCGCACCTCCAGCTGATGAGGAAGACGCAGCGGTAGAGAAGGAGGAAGAATAGGGAGAGAAATCGGTGCATGATCCTGGTGAGTGTTTCATGCTGGATAAGAGGAGGAGAGGAAACCCGTGCGTCCGCGCGTCCTTGCACCACGGGGTCGTGCGCTAAGTAACGCAGGAGGTGAACGGAAACATGCACTATAAGTGACAGTGGGAACCAGGTAGCCTACTAAGCAAGAGCGCGCTCCCTCCGGACCTCCTCACTGAACTTTACCCGCTGAGCTCTGACGCGATGGCTGCTGCCGCCGCTTCTGCTCCTGCTCTGGGGGAAGTTGGAGGCGTCTTGCACGGCATCGAAGGTGTCACACACGTCGGGTCCCATTTCTTCCTGAGCCCTCTGGGGGACAGTCCCACGCTGCTGCTGGGGGAGCACCTGGTACCCGGGGACAGGCTCTCCCGGAGCACCGCAGCGGATTTAACGCACCTCAAAGGGATCCTGAGGAGGAGACAGTTGTACTGCAGGACTGGATTTCACCTGGAAATACTTCCGGATGGCACAGTGCAGGGGACGAGGAAGGACCACAGTCGTTTTGGTAAAGATCACAATTTTTGTTATGGCAATATAAATAAATTAAATAAAGTATTATAAAGTAAGCAGCAGCTATTATAAAACAAATGATGTAATTATAGAAATAATCATAGGAGAGGAAAGAGTAAATAACACTTAACTAATGAGTATAATGCTGTTCATTGAAATGTATGAATTGTGCTTTAATCTGCTGAATCAGTATCTGTGATCATTTTCTTTCATCTTTTACAAAGTCTGTATAAAACAACTGTGTTATTCTTCTCCAGGTATTTTGGAATTCATAAGTCTTGCTGTTGGGTTGATAAGCATTAGAGGGGTGGACAGCGGACTCTATCTAGGCATGAACAACAAAGGAGACCTGTATGGTTCTGTAAGTATCATCTTTACTTATTCACATCTCCCAAAAATCCAAATTGTTGTCCTTGTGATGACACCAGGCCTCTCCCATGTGGAGGATTTGATTTCTCAGGAAGATAAATCTAAAGAAACGATGACATGTGTCGTGTGTTGTTTCCTTTGTTTTCAGGAGAAGCTCACAGCCGAATGTGTCTTCAGGGAGCAGTTTGAGGAGAACTGGTACAACACATACTCCTCCAACCTCTACAAGCACGGAGACAAAGGGACACGTTATTTTGTGGCATTAAACAAAGATGGGACTCCAAGGGATGGGACTAAATCCAGGCGACACCAGAAATTTACCCACTTCCTGCCCAGGCCCGTGGACCCTGACCGTGTGCCGGAGCTGTACAGAGACATCCTGGGGCACAGCTGAGACCTGCAGGGGAGGCCTGGTGCAGATCAGGAATAGCTGCTGAAAACCCTCGCAGGCAGGGAGCAGAGAAGAGAGCGAGGGACGCAGGAGGGGATGTGGCCGGGGCAAGCTGGTGGACAGCAGCCCGGCCGGCAGGGGATAAAGGTACCGGGGGCCTCTTGTAGGAATGCACGGGCCATCTCTCAGCAGCCAGGACGACAGGTTAGAATGTCTGCACGCTTGGCATGAGGGGGGTCATTTGTTTCAGAGGCCGGACAACCCTCACAAGTACCTGCGCGGAATAGGAGACGAATAGGAAACGGAGCTGGATGGTCAGCAAGCATCTCCTCTGTCGTGTGTGGGACAGAGACGTCAGTCAGTCGATGTGGCATCTGTGGGAATCTGCAGAATCGCAACATGGTACTTTTTATTTGGGTGCTGTGTCAGAGAGCCACATGTTGTTCAGAAGGACTTTGAAGGAATTCTGTTTTGTTTTTCTTACCTGTGTCTAGACTTGTTTAAACAGAGCAAAGTGTAACAATTTATTTATTCCTTTTTAGATACATATATTTATGTTATATATTTATTTATTTGAGAATATATTTTTACAGTTAGACAACATGCGATATAGAAAAACCACTAGAAATTGTATCAATTATATAAAGACTGAGACACTGTACCATTAAGTCTTTTATTTTGAAAAAAGCTCAGCCAGTGATATACTGTAATATGACCAGAAATATGAAACATAGTGTATATGGAATACACCCCCAATTTTGAAATGTATTTTATCATGATAAGATAACTGTGAATCAAATTTTAAAGAAATTCTTTGTCTTTTTGACACAGTGATTACAACCAAACTACTGTTACTTGTGTTTTAAGCAGAATCTGAAGTTGACGTACTGACAATTCAAACAATAAATTGCTCAAAATGTGACTAAAAAGCCTTTTTGTCAGCCTGTATGATTAGAGGGCACTTTTAATATGCTCCTTTAAACAACTTTTGACTTTTAACAGCGCAATATTTGAAAAGAAGTTTACTTTACTCGCTGCCTTCGTCTCTCAGAGTTTAAACGTATAAACCTGCTTATGAGATCAATGTTGTCTTTCTTTATGGACGTCATTATGCCGAGGGACGAGTCGTAGAACCGATGCACGCATAAAACTTCAAAGCGTCCCCTCCTGAATGCTGCGAGGCGGCACAGTGACACGATCAGGACCAAATAAAATCTGACCTTTCACTCAGGCCCTGCAGCTTTAGCAGCTGTATAAAACTGCAGGTCAGAGCGATAAGGATTAAGTAACCTCTGCTGACAGTTTGAGGCTTTCAGACTTGTTGAAATGTCTTATTAAACAGTGGAATGCAGAGGCATCTTTAAATCTACCAGTGCAGTGCCTGTTCTAAACCTGCCTGATGGAATGGGCTGTTTGTTCGGACTGTGTTAATGCTCCGGAGCTTCTTCAGAATTTTTCCTTATCACTAGTGAGTCCTCCACAAACAGTTCTACAGTATATTGTCATTTGCAGAGTGAAGTTAGAAAACTTTGGGTTCATCTTACCTGGTTTATGTGTAATGAAGATTTTATAGTCAGTGTTTTTAATAAGATGAAACTGAATTTGCTTTTTCACTGTTCAGGTGTATGGTTTTTACATACGTTTGAATGATTTACTGAACTGCTGTTGTTATTTTTTGTTTCAGAGGTCTGTTCAGCGACCGACACAATCTTCAGACCCAAGTTTCACATTTATTCAAAATAAAAGCTCTCAGGTCGATTTAAAGCATTACAGCAACAAAACAAATATTGTGCTTTTACTTTGCAGACCAATTGCTTTAGAGGAAGTGATTGCTGCCATGACGGAGGTCACCACCCCCGACACTCGTGAATGCCTGTGTCAATTCAATTTGATGAATTAAACATTTTCAAAATGATCTGATGGAGATTTTTACTGGCGATTTGAGTTGCCAACCACTGCTTTAGTTTATCCACAGACTTAGAAGAAAAACGGTTCAACCCTGCGCAGCCCCCACTGAGTGTTACAGACCACTGTTAATTCAGTTTTTATTAATATTGAACATATTGCGTGTCCAAATCTCACCAAATGTGACACTGCACCTTCTCTGGGTGTTAAGAATGCACATACCAAGTGTGAAGGCAAAAAGTTAAACAGTTTGCGTTCCACATACAGACAGAATTCATAGGTAGATGAGTCTTATTTTTTTATTTCCAGACATTTCCAGGCTTTATATTAGATTGTTAAAGGGAAAGGTTGTTTTAGCCACAAAGCAGCCGAATTTGCAATTTGTTTTCCAAAAGCCACTATCTCATATGTCTGTGCACAGTTTCCTCCACGGTTGGGAGCAGATCTGTGTTGAAGCATGAAGGCTCCAGCCTGTGATCTTGGCTCGTGTGTGTGATGGTGAGCCAGTTGGGGGGGGTGTCTCGATACGGGGAGTCAACCCTGCTGCCAACTCTCTCCTGTCTGCAGCACGATACGTCGGGACTTTCCCACCTGCACACCTTGAACATCAACGTGCTTCTGTCGTCGATTAATGACAGCATCCCAGAGTGTATTATAACCTGTGCGCACATGGACATCCCCTGTCCACTGGGTAAGCACACGCAAGCCTATTACAACAACATGAAAAAGGTTCTGAGGTTTGTTTATTTTTAAAAGATACTGTCACTGCTCGTCTTTCTTTAGCTTCTCAGAAAAGTTAACAAGCATGAAAGTGACGGACGGGGTGTGCTTCATTCCTGTCTCGTCCCATCTCTCCAAGGTAAAGAATGTGTTGCCATAATAGTTTAAAGGTTGTTTTTTTGCAATACTTCTCAAGAGACTAAAGTTTCATCCCCATTGCCTTTGTGGACATGAAAAGCTGACTTTGTGCGGATCTAAGACCGTAACCTCCTCCACTCCCCCCTTGACATTTTCAAGGTCATGTCTCTAAACACACTGGAAATCCTGGCCTGTGATACCTGATGCTCACAAGTGCTCTTTGGCACTTGTTTAACCAAAGTTTTTTTGTCTGCCGGGCCCTCAGACACACACTTTTGTTACAGCTACCCCAGTGCCCTCCAGGTGGTCTGCGCCCCCTTACTGAAAACACTTAAACCCCTCATCCGAACCCACTCTGGAGGGCCGTCTGACACGTTTAATGGACGCTCCCTGACTTTCACCACCTCCTCAGCAGCAGCAGCAGCCATAAAGAGCTCTCGAGGAAACCCAATCAAGTGTGTGTGTGTGCGTGTGTGTGTGTGTGAGTGTGTGTGTGTGTGTGTGTGTGTGTGTGTGTGGCATGGGTCCACAGCAGGTGTGGAAGTCAGTGATCTTCCATGTCTCTCCTCACAGTCCAGTCAGACAGCGCAGGTGTTCCCTCAGCTCACACACTCTGATCTCAGTCCTGCTGTTTGTCAGCTGGGGATGTAACTTAGCAGCAGGAGGAGGACGAGGACGAGGAGGGTGGAAATACAGCCGGCTTTGTTGTCTGCCCCCAATTATCAGAGAGCATAATTTCTATATTTAGAAGGCTGCATCGCAGAAGACGAGGGAGGTGCCGAGGAGCTCACCTGTTGCTCTAAAGCTGTGGCCACTTCTAAGAGTGTGTTTGCGCAGGGATGGTGCCTGCAGCTTTGTGTCATTTGAATCCTGCAACTATTGATTTCAGGCTCTTTGTTGTTTGTTTATTCCTTAGTAAATTGCCGTGCGCACAAATTATGAGCTGCATGTGTGTTTACAGGGATTACAGCAGAAGTGTAAGTATAGCGTTATCCACTTGATACTTTTGGGCTTCATATGAGTCCAGAGAGAGAAGGAGGGAGCGAGAGGAAGAATATGCAGCCAGTGGTCTCAAATATCATCCATTCATCTATTCTTCCACTCATCCTTCCATCCATCATTCATGTTTTGTGGCTAAATCGTCTTTCACACCTGATGCATTGTACCCATTTGAGTTCAATCATTTTAGTGTCATAGATAAGAGGATTTTGTGGTGCGCTCTCCACAAGCAGCAATTAGACCAGCATACCTGATTTACTGACACTCCACATCTCAGGCTGTCAGCTCCAGTGGAAAGTATGCTCCTCTGTTTGCATCTCCATGGAGACCTCAGCAGGAAACAACCGTGTTTAGGTGTTGTGGTGAAAAGAAACGGAGGAGAAGAATAATAAGTGGAGGCAGTGTCACTTCTGCAGAGTTTAGTCTCTCGGTTCTAGGCCTATACAGTGAGGACTGCTGTTGTACGTCTTCTGTTTTATAAAAGGGATCTGAACACAAAGTGGAGACTGAGCAGAAGAATCTGCACTGATACAAACACATCTGTAGCATCTGTAACACAGTTGAGGCAGGTCGACGAGAGGTGAGACTGGATATGAAAACATTTATGTAATATGCATGATGTTCTACATATTTATATCTAACAGGGTTTTGAAGAGATCTCAACAATTGCGAGCAGGAAATGTTTTTGGAAAAAAAACAATTTTTTCAGTCTGTATTCTTCCAGAATTATAGAACTGTGAGGTAAATTACTTACTTACTATTTACTTTTCGTGTTACTTTTGACTTCCACTCCATTATTTTAAACTAAATCTGTCAATATACAAAAAATATCAGTGTAGTATATAAAGTAGCTCTGTTTCAACCAGCCAAAGGAAATTGTTTTAGGTAAAATGCTTATTAGCCTCCTTCCCCGAGAGTTCGATCTCTTCCAGCTTCTAGTTTCAACTCACAACCAGCCCCTCACATCTGCTGACCAAACCAGTGTGTGAGCAGCCGTGTCACCCCATCCTCTGGCCCACGGCTCCACATTACAGAGTCACAAATTAGGTCTTGACATTTGGGCGCCATAATTGCCCCCTGAAAAGCATGAGGCATCAATTATGCTCTCAGCGCCATGACAAGTTATCCCTACAGGACATAATCGCTCTGCCGGACTGCCCGGCTGGATGGCCCCGCCAGTGCACACACATGCACACAAACACACACACAAACATTCATACACACATAGACAAGTCAAGGATCAAGCCACAAAATTAGCCAACATGGTCCGTCTATAAATAGTTTGACAGTGGTCAATGTAAAATGAAGTCCTCATGTTGAATTCTAAGCTTTGTGACAACAATGTGTGAGAGGAGGCCATGCTGGAGGAGTGGCAGAGGGTCTCAGGGTGCCGCTGCACTAATAACACCATAGGTCCCTTTGATTTCCCAACTCTGGTGCCGCCTGACAGTTTCTGCTCCCACAGGGCGTGGAGATCTTTGGGGTCAGAAAAAAGGTCAATTGGTTCATTTCCATAGCTCCCACTTTAAACATTCTTGTAGGCTTTGGGAGCAATTCAATCAGCAGCAAAAACACTGGTTAGTGGCGTGGAATTACCCGCCGTCGTTAACGATGCAGCATATACTCATAAACAAGATGGATGTATCCCACAGAGACATGCACCGTAAACTGTGAGAAGCCCTGCATGTTGAGATATGAGCTGGAGGTCTTTCAATGCTGAAACATATAAGATATATTTATAACATCACATAAGATAACTAAATAAAAAGCTTTGAATATTCTAGATACATAATTCATGAGTGGCAAAGACCTACAATCCCCTTTCTGACATTTCGTTTTGAGATTACAAACTTATTTGTGTATCAGTATTTCAAATACTGACTTTATAAAAGAAAATGATGATAGAATTTGGAGAATTTGTTTTAATGCATATTACCCATTTATTGATAGCTAAGCAGTTAATATTCAAAGAGTATACCTCCACCAAGGCCCAACAGCCTCCTTAAATTCAATCAAACTGCACTAAATTTCAAATAAAATATCAACATCCATGAATTATTCTCATAGAAATTGGTGAAGATGTTAAAATTACCATAAGTTGCAATGTTGAATATAAATCAAA